GGACATTTACTTGCTTGGGGCTCAGCTGACATCATTGCATCATTGCTCAGTCTCACAGCTACTGAAGTCAAATGGTCTTGGTCCTCTAGTGAAAGCCCACACGTTTTGTTTCCTCCAGAACATGACATGTATTTGATTACCCACATTCAGGAAAAGTGTCAGTACTGCCCTGCCCAGGAAGTTTTCCTGTATTGCTATGTCAGCACTTTTTATTAATACCCATTAAAAAAAAGTTTTGAAACAGCAGGACCTATACCCAGAAGGTGGGAAACAGGAAGGCCTGTTGCATTGAAAACCTGATGAGTCCAGATGAAAGATGCTGGTGGGGGAGGGGGGATGACACTGGGGCTTACCCATAAAACAGCCCCTTCAACACACTCTAAGGAAGCCTACATTGTCAGACCCTCCATATTCTTAGCTACACCTATATGGTTTTCAGACAGAGAATGCAGGCACAAACGAGGAAAGAACAGAACTTTAAAGAACAAAACAAAAGAAACTCAGTTCTCAGAATTTAAAAATTTCAAGGCAGTATTATAGGCATCTGAAAGACAGAGGACTAGTTAAAGAGGTTCATCTTTCAAATAAAATGATTTCTGTAATGAGAGAAGACAGAACATAGAGGCAATGAAAGGAAGAGAAAAGAAGCCAGGTAAAGTGAGGATGGGAAGTTTGAGGCCAGTCTGGGTCACACAGTGAGTTTAAGGCCAGTCTGTGCTGCATTGAGATAATCCTATATCCCCCCCCCCAAAAAAAAAAAAACCAGAAAGAGGGAAGAAAGGAAGGGATAGAGAGAAGGAGGAATAGAACAAAGGACATAAGGACATGCATTTCTAAGCTGAAAGCCCAATTAATTCCCAGCACAAAATACAAAAACACATCTAAATCAAGGGAGATTATTGTAAAGATGATTCCAGAAATGAAAGTCACACAGAGAGAATCAGAAATCTAAAGCTACATGTCCTCAAACCATCAGCAGCTATCTTAGAGATAGAAGGAAACGAGGAGTGCTTTCAAAATTCCAAAGGGGCTGTTTATAATCTAACAGTCTGTGCCATGTTCATCTATCAAGGGTTTCTATAAAATGAAGATATTTCAGACTCACAGCATAAAGGAAACCAGTATTTCCCATGTCCCCTTTAAGCTAAGGAGGAGGAAGACTTTGGATCTGTGGCATAAGACATTAGATAGGTCCAACTAGCTTAAAAATCGATTTAAGAGGGGGTGGGGGGAGAGTGAGAGCATTCATGTGTGTGAACAGCTGCTGGGCATAGGTGCTGGGCACCAAACCCAGGCTCTCCAAAGGAACAGCAAACACTCCTAAATGCTGATCCATCCCCAGCTACCCTCTTGTGGAAGAGAATGGGTGGCATGCCTGGATGTATTAAGAGATAGCAACAGCTGGCAGCCAGTGGATGGATTGATGATGTCTGGAAAACTAAACCATAATGGGGGATGGGATGCAGACAGGCAGGGAAATGCAACTGATCCTTGGAAAAACTAAAACCCATGGGAGAAAGAATATAACTATCATACTTAAGTGGCTAAGTTGTGATTAGCATGTTGGGGGGTGGTCATAATCACAGGAACAGAGAATATGGATCTAACCCAAACTTCAGTATGATTCTACTACAGGATAAAAAGGGGAAGGAATGCGTCATTGGGGCATCCGGGTAGAATCTAAATAAACCTCCGGTTTCTGCAGTAGGATGTTGACAGAGAAGATCCCAAACAAAAAGAAGCAGTGGTCTATTGGTGTTATAGATGCCAGTTAATATCCCAAAGAATCAGACAAGAGAAAAAAACCAAAATGTTACTGCAGAGAATGAGAAAAAGGGTGAGGCAGTGTATGTGTGTGTGTGTCGGGGGCTAGGGGGTCTGGTTGTGCAGTAAGTTTTGCAGAACCAGTTCTGGTATCACACTGTACACGTACATGAGGCTAACAATGTTTTCAACAAAACAAATGTAAGAGCTTTTGTCCTCTAGAAAACAACAGATGTATACCTCTGACTTTGTGACCCGTGTCACCAGAGGTGAGAAATCTTGGACTAGAACTATACCTACCCCCAACCATCCTCTCCCCTCTCCCCTCTTCATGTCTAAACATGAAGCAGAGCTTTAAAAAGGGGCTTTCCAAACTAATGGAGCCCCAAAGAGATAATCTCATTGAGCCCACAGTTGTCATATGACCGTAGGAACCCTATCTTTTTAGAGCAAAAATGATTCCAGGGACGTAAAGAATCACAATTCAAATGTGTGGCTTGGTTTGTGCTTTGGGAAGGCTGGAAAACATAAGCAGAGGGGAGTCATCCAGATGAAGGGTTGTTTTTGGACACAGAAGCAGATGCAGCCTGAACCCCCAAATAGACCATATAAGGTCTGAGTTCCACAGCTGAACTTATTATGGAAATTAAGAAGGGCTGAGTTAATGTTTGGATGCTCATCTCTGCTTGCTGGTCACAACATTCTGACCATCCCTGTTCATCTAAACTTGCTGCTGGCTGACCCATACCAGACATTTACTGGGTTCTGAACTGAGCCCTCTTTGTGTTTGTGTAGCACTAAGATTAATTATGAGCTGTGCATGAAGTGAACTGGGGGCCACAACTTTGACTGAAAAGCAATTCTGGAGCAGTATCATAAGCAAAGTCAACAGAGTTTAAGCCCAAAGGACAGTGTCTATAGCAGGCCTTTTAGTTTCTGAGTTGGCATGAACATAAACTGTTTGCTGGAAGGGACTTTTGTTTGTATTTAATCTATGTGCAAACTTTATTTTTGTATCAACAATGCTTTAAGCTCCCCCTCTGGATGAAACAGGGTGAGGCACACCCACCTCCAAGTTCAGTGAGCAGGACACAATACAGTCAGGCTTTCCTCTCTATTGGCTTGGCTGTGGACAAATCTGGAATTAGCAGATGGACCTCTGTGGGGTGTGCTTCCACAGTGAGTACCATTGGCTAGCCCTATATTATGCCTGGGCCTGGTTTCCTAGCCCAAGATGGGCTGTGTGGGGTTCAGGATCAGTTCTAAGACCGAAGGCAACCAGTGGCTGAGCAGACACATGGAAAACATCTGTGGGTGACCAGCCCCACATAAAATCCTCAGGGCTACAGCCTCCTTGGAGTGCCTCCAAGTTCATTCCCAGTAGACAACGCAGGGTGCCAAGTGCCCTGGAACCTCCCCTGTGCAGGAGGCTGGAAAAAGTTGCAAGGAACTATTAGACTGAGATCTAAACATGTCAGTATTGCTGGGATAATATTATCTACTCCAAAATTCTACTCTGCTAAAAGCTGTCCCTTTTGGTTGTTTTTTTTTTTTTTTTTCCTGAGCTTTCGCATGGAGGAAACCTCTTCAAATGATTCACATCATTTATAAAACACTCAGGGTCATCCCACTCAGGGCTTAGTTTTCTGTGACATGAAATGCATTTCACTCAAAGGATGTTGGTTGGAACAACAAGTTTTGAGAACTCAACGCTCCATGAGTAAATACTAAGCGTTTGCCACTAGGTTGACTTTGGAGAGCAGTCTGGCCAGACACCAAGGGCTTGTTTCGAACTGTGCTATAATCTAAGGGATATGGCATTTGAAGTGAAAGGCTGGTGAGAAAAGAATCAGAAAAATCTAACTAGCAAAAGAGCTCTGTCACATATATTTCTCAACAGTTTGAGGCTGTTTAGCAACTAACAGAAAACACAGGGGCTGGGGAGGTGGCTCAGGGGATAAGCGCCTGCTGTCTAGGTATGAGAGCTGGTGTTAGAACCCGCAGAACCCATGTGAAATCCAGGTAAGGTTGGTGGCTAATTGTAATCTCAGCATTGGGAGGCAAAGACAGGATCACTGGAGCAAGGTGGTTAGCTGTATCAGCACTATTGAGAATTCTGAATTCACCAAAAGACCAGGCCTCAATACATAAAGTGAATGATGGGGAACCACCCAAAGTCAGCATTGGGCCTCCACACGTGTGTTCGAACACACACACACACACACACACACACACACACACACACACACACCCCTGCACATACATTCACACCCATGAGGACATTCATACATTAAGAAAACTAAAAGGTATGATGATGCCTGAGGCTCTCTTTAGTAGTTCTCTTCCCTTCAAATTAGTCATCCTGGTGAGACTACCTGAATGACTCAAGCTGAGGAGAAGACTATAGGATTCAGTGGGATGATGGAGAATGAATGAAGTTCAAGTTTGCCTCAGAATGACCAGTCTAGCATAGTTTACCCAGGCTCACAGCACAAACTACAAGTACCCCAAACAAACATGACTTTAAAATGCCATCCCTTCCTAATTTGTAGGAAAGTTTAAAAAGCACTGGGGGGGTATGTTTCCTTTCCCACTGAGTGAGTGAATCAGCTTTTCAACAGGGTTAACCTGGGTGCTGGCTGGAGGGGAGCTTCAGAATTAGGAGGTGGGGACAGGAAAGTTTAGCTTTAAAATTTTTGTTTCACTTTGTTTTTCTAATCATAAAAATATATTTTGAAATTCTAAGCTTTGTAAACATAGGAGAAACTTGTTTATCAAAGATGTTATGAGCTAAAGGCCAGAGGATCTTAGTTTAGAGTCATTGACAGGGATGCTGGTGGCCCTTGTTTAGTGCCCCTGGCATTTGTGGTAATAAGCATCTGGTTTCTCTCGTCACATGCTGGATATCTCTCAGTTTATTCCAAAGTCTTTCTTTGGAGGGATTTTTCTAGTTATGTTTTTTAGTTTCAGCTATGGTGTTGGTGATATTCAGCTTCTAATAAAGCCATGCTGTTATAGAATTTAAGGGAAGTTTGTGTAGAACTAGCAGAGGATAAACCTCTTTTCAAGCATCCCTTAGGCCAAGTTTTATTTTTACATGACCCAATTTATACCAAGTATGTAAGTATAAAAATAGTGGAGGTGAACATATCTTTTGCTTATTTCATCCATTCATAAAATTGCCGAGTGTCTGCTATATGGCAGGTGCCGAGATGGGTGTAAGCAGTCACGCTCACCTGTGTGGGAATAGATGTACCACAAGGCCCCAGTCAGGAGTGCTCCAATCACAAACGCTGCAAACGCAATGCCCATCACGGTTAGCGTGTCCAGCCCATGGAAAATCTCTAAAAAGAGGGAAACACACACTCTATGTAAATCAGTATTATACACTTCCATTTGATTCTCACTTTACAAGCACAGTCATAAAGTAAATTCAGACACACGTAATAAGGGTTACACTGAATTCCACATTTTGTTACTGGCAAATTTTCTGACAAAGGAAAAGATGGATCATTTGGGTTTTTAAGTAGTCTGTTAGTAATTTATTCTAAGCAAAGACTTTTTTAAATAAAAAAATTTAGGTTTATCTTTATTTGTACAACTCTTTTGCTTAAATGCATATATGTGTACCACATGTGTGCCTTTGGAGCTCCTATCCTAGAACTGGACTTACAGATGACTATGAGCCACTATGTAGGTGCTGGGAATTGAACCCAGGTCCTCTGCAAGAGCAACAAGTGCTCTTAATCACTGAGAAACCTCTCCAGGTTCCCCAAAAAGTCATTTTTAAAAATAAGATTTATGAATTTGTGACAGTTTATATCTGTGGTCTCATTGTCCTGGTCTGAGAACCTAGGTAACTTGAAATTTCACAGCTGTAAGGTACTTAAGAAGGTAAAGTAACATGAGCTGGGGCATGCCCTTAATTCCAGCTCTGGGAGGCAGATTAATATGAGTTCAAGACCAGCCTGGTCTATATTGTGAGTTCCTGGCTAACTAAGGCCTACAGAGTGAGACCCTGTCTGGGGGGTAGGAAGTATGTGTTAGGGGGAAGTGAACTTCCATTGTCATTGCTTCTTCTTGAGTACTTCTGAACAATGAGATTCTCACTACACAGACATCACAGCCTTAGTGAACTCTGCAATGTTCTTGTGAACACTTACAGGGTACAAGAGATGAAAGGGAGTGAGAAAAAAAAGAACAGAATAAATTACTCTTGTGCATTGGAACACTGCGCTGACTCCACAGTGAGCCAGCCCCCATCTTAACCCCTAAGTGCTGCCTCATTTTAAACAACCTGCCTTTTGTCTCCTCTCCAACCCCCCATCTTTCCATGAAGAAATTTATTTCTCAGTGGGTTGTCATGTCAAGTTTTATGGTCAGCAAAACATAAAAGAACTAATTGTTCCTCTACTCGGCAAAGACAATTTTATATTTGCAACTGATTTCGGTTCATAGAAATCGGATATTTCCTTCCACTGAAGAACCACTACCTATGAGTTAGGACTAGCGGCTAAGGAAGTGTTTGGTAAAATAAAAATCTGTATATACGTGTGTGTGTGTGTGTGTGTGTGTGTGTGTGTGTGTGTGTGTGTGTGTGTTCGCACAAAGTGAAGATACAAACTCTCCATGATCTAAATACATTTCTTCTTTCCACTCCATTCAGAAGCAATACTAGCTGATCACTCTAGAAATGAAATCCTTTTGCTTTTGAACTTACAGGATACAAAAGCTTCAGTTATATGCAAATGTGACCCCCTGCAGCCCTTCACAAGATCCTGTTAAGTATCTCCAGATGAAAGGAGTCAGGAAGGGACCATAGCTCCTCCATCCATGTGCCTTCGGGTGGCTTCATTTACATTCTGGAAAAGTGAGGGTGACCCCACCCACCACAAGATGAGTTACTACAACAGGGGAGCAGTCCTGGGAAGGAACTAGAAACCAGGGAGAGCCTAGTGGAAGCTAGAATGACAGACTGTCCACCAGCTTAATGTAGCCTGTGGGACAGCTCTATATGGCGTCTGTTACTGAGTTTGTGGTACTCCTATTCCATAATCTTCTGGAAATAAGACACTTAGGACATGACATTAAAAGGGTTTCTATAAAAGTTCTCTAAAGAATGACTTGCATCCAGCACTCAGGAGGCAGAGGCAGGTATACCTCTGAGTTCAAGGCCAGCCTGGTCTACAGAGAGTTCCAGGACTGTCAGAGCTTTGGGTGTGTGGCTAGAAGTCAAGGGGGAACCCTGCTTCAGTGACACTGATAACCATGGAAACTCAAATATATACAAAATGATATTATGACCTACATTTTTCCCAAGTCATCATTTCGTACCAACGGTATTGAACTCTCCTCTTGCTTGCCCTCTCAGCTCTCCCCATAAATGGTGCTGAGCAGGGAATCACCCTTGGGAACTTGAAACACTCTCCCAGCACAACAGGAAAAAAAGCACGAAAATCATTAACTTGATAATGTGAGGTTATAGCTTCCCACTCAGGCTACACATGTTAATACGGCAAAGGTACAGAGACCTCAGAAAAGGGAGGATGAAAGGAGGACAGAGGAAAGGGGGAAAATAGTGTGAGGTGGGGAAAAGAGGAACAGGGAAGAGGGAAGAAGCCCAGAGCTCTCCTTTATCAGTTCACTTGGCAAGTGTTCTGCAATCAACACATTCTTAGAAAAGCCCAGAGGCATTATTTGGAAATAGTTGCACAAAGACTTACGTGGAGGGGGAGGAACTGGATTGGACTCCTTAGTGTTTGGAACATTTTCTGAAACAAAAGCATAAGTCACAATGCATTCCATTTTCGCAAGGGATCATTAGACTCAGTAGAAGGGCATTTTTCTATCTGTGAATAAGTGTGGTGTGTGTGTGTGTGTGTGTGTGTGTGTGTGTGTGTGTGCATGCTTGCGCGTGCGCGCCTAGGCTACTAGGGCCAGAAGAGGGTGTTGGATTCCCCTGGAGCTGGAGTGGTTGTGAGCCACCTGACTTGGGTGCTGGGAACTGAGCTCTTGTCCTCTGAAGAGCAGCCAGGACTCTTAAACTGCCGAGCTACCCTATCTAGCCCCCAGCTCATAAATACCCTGTGACCCCACTGGCAACATTCCTCTTAACATATCAAAAGCACATCTCACAAATGTCAGGCACTGCATTTTGCTAATGACCAATTCCAGGGGCTCTCCAATTTGAAGGGAAGTTGAAGACAAACACATCAATTTAAGGACTTTGAATCTGACAGTGTGTGCATGTATTCATCTTTATAGTAACCTATACAAGGGTTCAACTCCTCCAATATCATGCTTCTCCAATACATTCACAACACTGGTCCCCCTTTTAAATATTCTTTTAAGAATCTACAGCTTTTAGCCATAATGGCACAAGTCTTCAATCCCAGCATTTGGGAGGCGGAGGCATGGAGATCTCTGTGGGTTCGAGGCCGAGTCTGGTGTGGTCTACATAGTGATCAGGATTTCAGGAAAGTCAGAGCTACAGAACTTCATTTCTTATCTCCTGAGCCCCACAGGGTTTAGTTCTGCTCCACTCCTCTGCAATACCAGACCCTCCCTCTTCCCACCATGTTCCAAATATTTTCTCTTACACAATTCCTCCAAAGTGAATTCTCCAGAGACACTCCCTCCCCCCAGTGACTACTCATGGTGTACAGAGAAAAACAAATTCAGTCTGTTTACCATGAAACATAGCCCCTCCTCCACTTCCCAGGTCCTTCATTGATGCTGGTGGTTTCTCCTTATTTAATGCCCCCTCTGGTTCCTTTCTGTCCCCAATTTACCACACTTTATAAGCTAATTTCTGTTTGGCTGGCCCTGTTTCTCTCCTTCAGGGCTGACCTCTCCCACAGCTGCTCATCCCACCCCTTTTCTGTGACACAGGTCACATTTTAACACGATAGACTGGCAAGGAGTGTCGAGGATCCCAATATTTTTCTTGTCCTGCCTTTAGGGGAAGCCTCACAGAGGCATAGAATCAGACTTCCAGGAATGCTTGGTGAAGGGTGATTAAAATGCTGACACCCTTTTGGAAAATGGAGGAAATGAGAAATAAGATGACCAAAAATATTTCTGTGCTTCCATAGTTCTGCAATGCTTCATAGTCTTATAATGCCACAAGGCCAAGGTTTTAAATGACGTTAAACCCGTCCTTTCAGGCAGTCAGAAAAAGAATTTGCAATTACTATTTTACAAATGAGTAGTCTGAGATTCTGATACCCTGTGACTAGCCCAAGTTCACAGCTGGGAAGCATCAGGGAAAGAGCTGAACCACAATTTCTGACTCCTGCTTCATGGGCTATGGGGGAAGGAGGAGGTCCCTGTCCTTAGTTGGGGAAACTCTGATTTAGTAACTGCTTATACACAGAACTCGCTGCTATCCACAGTGAGGTGAGCCTAAACTAGGGTGAGAACACTGTGGCCTGAGATGGAAAATTGTAATTTGAAATGATTTATTTAAAAAAGAAAAAGAAGAATATTGCATGAAGTGAAAATTACATGAAATTCAAGTTTGTCCCATAAGCAATGTTCGGTGGCCGTGCGCAGTACATGTGATCTACAGCCATTTTCCTGTCACAGCAGTAGAACTGGACACTTGAGGCAGGGGCTGGATAGTCCCCAAACCAAATCCATTACCTATCCAGCTTTTTATAGAAAAGAACCCCTGGCTCAGACACTATCTTTCGCTTCAGAGTTTAAAGGTGGTATGTACTCAGCTCTTCTCGGTGTCTGATTTATCATTTGTCTTTGATTTTGTAGCAGAACAAAAAAGGACTTGTGGAATTTAGACCAAAATAATGAAAGTTGGTCCTTACAAAATTAAAAATAATAAAGTTGATAGTGTGAAAGGAGATGAGATTCTAAGTTCTTTTTCTTTTTCTTTTTCTTTTTCTTTTTTTTTTTTTTTGAGACAGGGTTTCTCTTCTGGCTGTCCTGGAACTCCCTCTGAAGACCAGGCTGGTCTCAAACTCACAGAGGTCTGCCTGTTACTGCCTCCTGAGTGTTGGGATTAAAGGCGTGGGCCATCACCACCTGGCAGATTTGAAGTTCTTGAAGTTAACCATCTCAATTGGACCAAGTCCAGTTCTGAGAAAGCAATTGGTAACTGTGTATGGCCCCCTGAATCTGAGCATCATGGTTGCCCTTTGATGGTGATACATTCAAGTTATACTTCAATACGATTACTAAGAAAACTAAGTTGTTTTAAATGTTAATTCAGGGGCCAAGCACAGTGTGTAATCCTATAATCCCAACACCTGGGAGTTAAAAGGAAGCAGGCAGGATGACCATGAGTTTGAGGCTATCTTTGACACATAGCGGCAACAGGCCAGTTTGATCCACTTAATGAGAATCTGTCTGTGATAGTTTGGTTTGAAGAGAGTCTCACTGAGGGACTGTCTATATTGGGTGGTCTGTAAGCATGTCTGAGGGGGGCAATCTTAAATTAATTATTGGGGAAGATCCATCCCAGTCTGGGAGGCCCTATTCCCAAGACAAGGGTCTTACATAAGACTCTTGCATAAGAGTGGAGAAATGGAGTTGAGTATACACAAGCAAGCAAGCAGGCATGTATACATTTCTCTCTACTCTCAAGGGACCTAGGGTGTGATGTGACTAGATGTTACAAGTTCCTGCCTTGAGTTCTTCCCAGCAATAGACTAGATTAGGATTATAAACTAAATAAACCCCTCTTCTTCCATGTGGCTGTTTTTGTTTGGATATTTTATTATAGTAGAAGAAATGAAGCTAGGACATAATCTTAGGAAAAAAAATACAACTTGGTACGTAGAACTTACACTCATTAAACTACCTATAAAAAAACATTTTTTTTCTAGGGGCTAGAGGAATGGATCAGTGGTTAATAGTACTGGCTGCTCTTCCAGAGGTCCTGGATTTGATTCCCAGCAAACCACAAGGTGGCTCACAATTATCTATAACTCTAGTTTCAGTGAGTCGGATGCCCTCTTCTGACATCTGACACACCAGACAGGCAAGATGTATTTTCTGGCTGGAGATGTAGTCTAGTTGGTAGAGTGCTTGTCTATTGTGCACTTTCCTGGATATCAGCTTATTGGCAGCAACAATAACACTAACTCTGACATTTGTAGATTTGTGTAATGCATTAAAGTAGACAGTGTCAACATCTCTTACCTCACACACCAAGGAACTCTATGAAGTGCAAGCATCTAACCACAAAATTCACGTACTTCCAAGAAGCAACAGTTTGATTCACTGAACTAAGTGCAAAGGCACTTGAGGTTCCCAACCATGGGCATCACACAAGAAACATATACACACTTCTGGGAAGAGCTCCATCCAGTCTTCCGCTGTGGTTACTCAGAATCCCCAAGTGGTTTAAAAAGAATAATTCTCCCTGAGGGAGACCTCACAGCTAAGAATTTGGTTTTTATGGCAAGGCCTTTGTGATGGATAGCATTGTTTAAAAATTCTTAATGGATTTACATTGTGATCTAATACTCTTCCCCTCACCCCAAATAGGGCTCTCCCAGAGAACTAAACAGAAACATTCATGCCTTATTTCCTTGTGTCAAGCCTCTGCATGACCATCTGTGCCCACACTGCAAAGCTGAGGCTCCAGGAATTATCCTCTAACATTTCTTGTTCCCCAACTCCCCACAACCCCTGAGTCTAACAAAAATAGCTCCATCTCTTCCAGAGCCTGAATCTGCCCGCTAAAAAGAAAGGAGCAGCCGTATTTACTTAGGAAAAAGACTGCTAGGAATCCTAGCTATTGCTGTAAAGAGAATCTTAACAGTGAGTTTCTTTTCAGAAAGAATACACTATAATCAACATTCTGGATCAAATCTTTTCACATACTCTGGGCAAATTTTGGTTTACCTCTATAACCAAAATCTCCCTCTTTAGATAGTGAGGCATGGCTTTCACCAACTGGCATGTCTGGAGTAGGTCATGCATGAGTAACTGACCACAGCTATTGGCCTCCCATTTTAATTGGGTTCTTGTAAACACTGAAGGCCTGAGAAGACCCACAAAGAATCACAGTCTCAAACTGGCACGCACTGGGGTGAGGGGACGTGGGGGGATGACTTTGTGCAGCTGATGGGGATGTTCTTCTGCATATATGTTTATTTTATTGGTTGATGAATAAAACACTGTTGGCCAATAGGGCAGCAAGATAGGTGGGGCTAGGAGATGAGGAGGATTCTGGGAAGTGTAGGCATGCGATCCCGGGAGGAGAGGATTTGAGTCAGGCGTTTTTGGTAAGATAAGACCATGTAGAAATACATAGATTAGTAGTTATGGGTTAATAATTTAGACAGAGCTAACCAATAAGAAGCCATAGTCACTGGTGAACAGTTTCATAATTAATATAGCATCTGTGTGCTTCTTTGGGACAGAGAAGGGCAGTGGGACCCTGCAGGGCCAGGAAACCTCACATGCAGCTATTGGAGAACATTTCCAACCTTATTTGGCTGGCTCTGGCCCTCTCTGTGAACTTTTTTCAGTATTTATGGCATTCCTTGCATTGCCTGTTAACTTATCTGCACCCTGCCAGACAATGGTTGTCACCCCTGGGGTGTAGGGAGACACCTGACTCCCATCAGGGCATGGTCAAGGTGATGTCAGGGTGATATGGAAGAAGTTTAAAGAGTTAGGGAACACACATGGTAGCCCCTCTTTTCCCTGCTGCTTCGGCTTGCTTTGCTTTCCTGCCGGTTGGCTAGGGAGCTCTGTGAGGCATTTTACCTAATAAATATATCCTGACCATTACGTGACTAAG